AAATCACAGTATCAAAGAATACAAAGTAGACATTCAAACAGAAAGACTGCAAACAGCTGTGTTCAATGATCCAAAAACATTAATATAGTCAGCTATTTAACACCCCTAAACACACTTGCTGTTATATCCGTTAGAGCTCTTTTTATTCCCCCTCTCTTTTTTACAACAAAATTTACACATTTTGGATTTTATTACTCCTTAGTTCTTATTACTTTTTTTGGGTGGGGGAGAGAATAAAGTCAAATATGGCAAAACAAAGCTGTCAGTCAAAACCAAGGATAGACATAGCACATGATGTAAAACAGAGTACAAGGTTATCAACAATGTCTCTTGTTTCCTTAAAAAGAACTGTCCATCTCATTAGATATTATAAAGTTGAACAAAACAGTAGAGAACAAGACCAATATTATAAACATTACAGGACTTCCAAAGGAGACAATAGTCAAACCAGAATGGGCAACTTAGTGAATCTTATTGCCTTCAAAGTAGTTGCCTATACCATCAAACTTGATACTATCATACAGAATGGAACAGAGTCTAATCAGTCAAAACAAGATCGTGGGAGTATTACAGGACTTCAAAACAAGTTAATAGGAAATCAGAAAAAGTTACTATTATATATCCTAATATTTTTAATTTTTCCCCTTAATTAAAACAAACATAAGAAATAACTAAATAATTTTTTTTAAAGAATAAGGGAGAGATTGAGATAAAACAGGACATAACAATATAACAATAGAGGTCAAAGCATGACTGTTAAAATGTTCTTAATTTTAATGAAATGATTATTCTCGAGGAGAGGACACGTTCACACTCGTCTCCGGCTGCCCTCTCCCCTGCGCTGTTCTTGCACATGCCATCATTAAATCCGAGCCTGAGACTGGGTGACTCGTGAGCACTGGGAGCTTTTTCAGCTCATGGTCCTGGAGGCCTGCAGTTCCACAGCGGGTGGGGCCTTGGCGCTCTGTGGTCCCCTGGAAGAGGGCGGGATCCACGGGAGCGTGACAGGAAGGCGATGAACTCACTTGCAGAACTAACCCCTTCCACGGTATGGAGTACACTGGTAAAGGGGGCGCTAAGCCGTTCAAGAAATTCTGTCCTCTGGTCACCTCCTGAAGGTCCTGCTCTCAGGGTTGTCACACTGTACCCCAAATTTCCAGCATAAGGACTTCGGGGTTCACATGTACATGACAGTAGTCAGCTGACTGCAGGATGTGCTGACATACCTCTCCAGTTCTGTGCTAAGGGCGCAAGGCTTTCCTGCACAAATGCCACTGTCCTTCCCGCTAAGCACTGAAGTCACTGTACATCCTCTCTGTCGGATACCAACCGCAAGAAGCCTATTGGTCTCGTCTGATTTAAAGTTCTCCAAGTGTCACCCCATGAAGGACTTATCTCTGCTCACTTTTTGCTGCCACCCTTTAATTTATTAAATGTGGGTTTAAAGCTCTCCCAAGGTCCTTGGCCAAGCAACAGTGGTCATTTGTGTTTGGCAGTGCTGGTGCTTTCCTGTGCTTTGCTTTTCCATGGTTCTAATTATGTTTGTTATCTGTCTCTTAGAAAGCACTGAAATTGCCTGGTTTGTTAATGACATTGGTAGAGTCATTTATTTCAGAGCACATTTCATACTTTTCCGTGTGATTTGCATATGATTGGGGAAGGAGTAGAGTCAAATGCTTATGGATCATCTGCACCAATCACTTCCACATAAATATGTCTTATAATTAGAAAGAATAGCCTTATCAAAGTGTGGCTCTAATAAAAATACTAATCACTATTTTGTCCTTCCAAAACTAGTCGAGCAAAATCTAACACGGCTCCTGCGTGCTTTCAGGGACGACCTCTCTGTGTAGAGCTGATGAATATTTGATACTCGTGATAAAGGTTAAATGTTTTTATGAATAACTAGTTAATGGCTGAATTGGTATCATCACCTTGCACAAGTAGAGAACAAGGAGAACCAAACTTGGGTGGACGTAAATAGGAAAGAGTACTTCGAGAGGAGAGATTTTATTAGACTTTCTGTGTGTTTCTTAGAGCTGCAAATGCAGCCCTCGGAAGTGAGTGGAGGGGGCTGGCTGGGTCCACGGCCCTAGCCGCCCTTCCACCAAGTGGCATCAGGCAGAACCAGCTGCATTCATGGGGCTGGTTGTGCTGCAGGGCTGCTATGTATATCAGAAGTATAATCTGTCCTGTAGTCAAGGAAAAACTGAGGCTTGCTCTTTCCCCAGTTCCGCAGGCTGTTATTTCCCAAGCATTGTTTAGAACTCTTATAATTTTGTTAGCCAGAATTTCAAGAAAATAATGTCCTTGGGTATCTGTATTTATTTTTTGGTCAACCTTGATTAACCAGAACTTTGAGGTCTCTGCCCTTGCTTTTGCTTCTGGTTAGGCTTCTGTCTTAAAATGAAGGGCAAATCTTGGCAAAATGCATGAGATTTTGTTTAACATAATGCATATACATCTGTGTCACACACACACACACACATACACACACACACACACACACCAAAGGGCCAGTTAAGCTTCTGTGAAATCATTTCTGTTTTTGTGCCCGAAGCAGTGAGAAATGTTGCTATGCTCAAAAGGATGTCTTTAGGGATATGCAAGATAACCAATTGTCAACTTAACTGTTGCTCCTGAAACTCTCCTGACCCATCAGGGCTGGGTTAGCCAGCTCTGAAAGGCATTGTGTGATAGGAACTTTATCACAGAACTAGTGCCACCAGCGCCTGGTGACCTGGCAGAAAGGGAAATCCACACACTGATCATTCTCCTCTTTGCTCTTTCTTTTCCTCCTGGTGCTCATAAAACAGCAGGGTCCAGGCATCAGCCAAGAGGCTGAGGAACGTTGTACTGAATTTGAGAGGCCACGGTCTGAGGACCGAGAGCACAGTGGAGAAGGGAGGATCAAGTGGCTGATGGAGAAGCCTGGGACACTTTCCTTAGCTTGAGAAGATGTTGCTATCGTTTGATGGCCACTTCAATCCCATTTTATCCCACATCCATGTGGAATTGCTGTTGTTTATATTAGTAGCACTTATGGCCTGAAGATGACTGATTTCAATTTCTGCTGTTTCTCTAAACTTAGTCTGTGGGATACTTGGGGTCACAGCTCTGTTCTGGAAACAGTGAATCTCTGTTTTCAGACTATGTAAAAATACCTATTTACTAGTGTCTGTGTGGTTAGAAAATCCAACTTAGGTCATAGCTAATATGTAGTAATGGAGCTGGAATTAAAACTGTACTTTAGCTTCATGCATCACGGTTTTCAATTGTCTAAAATTCAAGCTTTCTATTGTACCTTCCTGAATTTGATTCTTACCTTTTCTGTTTACTCTAGAGCCAATCGTTTAAAGCTTTTCAGTGGAGCAATCCTCCCCTCATTTCCTTGTTTCTTTCTCTTTCATTCATCTGTGATACTTTAATCTCTTGTTTGCCAGAATCACAAGGTTTTTTTTTTAACCACTTGAATCCACGCATATGGAGATCCTCAATCTAGACAGTAAGGAATATTTTTCTCTAGAAGGAAGTCAATATCTATAAGGGAATTATGTGTCTTACAACAATGCTGTTGAAACTGCAATTTTTCATGCATTATTTTTCTATTTCTATTTTAATTTTTTAGGATCCTCTAGGGTCAATCTTTGCTCGTTTCCTGAAGAAATCACCATAATTTTCGTTCTTATTTTTCACAATAGATGACTGCTTCTTATCTCACTGAGAAACTAATAATGATTACACATGAGATTTCTTAACTACTTTCATACTAGGTAAAAATCATCAATATTTTCATCTTGCCTTGTCTTTTTTCCTATGGATTTCATTCAGTGAAATCCAATAGGGCTTCATTTGAGCACCTACAATATACAGGGTGGTGCAGATATAAAGATTAATTGTATACAAAATGGCAGTTACCATATCTGGCCCAACTTGTGAGAAGAAGAGGAAGAAGAAGACAAACTACATCAGTGCAAGAAAAATATGTGCCACTTCAGGGCTGTCGGCAAGGTGCTGTTGATTCAGGGGGGCCCAGTTACCATCCCTGGGGAAATATGGCATGATACAGAGGTGCATGCATTTTCTTGGTCTCTCTGCTAATCTCTTCTGGGTTCCTCCTTTATGTGCCTCACAAAAGTTCTTTCCACTTCATTTGAACATTTTGGAACCTCTATGACATCTATAAGATGTTTACATATTTGGCAAGATGTATTGGTTTATTTTGTTACAATAACAAAATTCCCAAGGCTGGATACCTTGCAAAGAAAAGAGGTTTATCTGCCTTATGGTCTTGGAGGTTGACTCTCAAATCAGCATGGGTCTGTCTTTGGTTACACCATCATGGCAGTACCGCGTTTATACCATCATGGGTGTATTTAGTTATAGCATTGTGTGAGTACTTTGGTTATATCATCATGAAATTTCCACTGAATTTCTTTACTGTTCCAGTCACTTTCTGAGTTTAAATAACATGCCTCTAAAGTTTTGTCTAACCCCTTGCCCATGGGCGCTTTGCTTGTTCATCTCTTTTTGTGCCATATTTGTATCTCCGTTATAATAAACAGGACTCTGGGAAATGGTTTTTATGTTTTTCATCTTAGCTTCTTGAGTGGAAAGCCTGCAACTTACGCCTCTTTACACACACTGTCTAGCACATTGAGGGGTTCAGGAATCACACTGCCTGCACTGAAATGTGTATACGTGTTGGCATCCACAGACAGCGCACACACTTAAAGTGAAGACTGGACTTCATTTATTGGCTGAATAGTGTTCAGATTTGTGAGTCCATTGGAACTCAATTTCCTCAGCTATAAATGGACATTATAATGCCCTACCAACTTTTATCACTGTTGTGGAAAGATCTATGTGAAATTTCTTTTAGAAAGATAATCTAATATAAATAAGCATTATTATAAACCATGATGTCTATAGAAAACTTAGTGAACCCTTTAATTCTATGAACTAAAATTTTTATTTATTCAATTTTATTTATTCAATAGCTCCATAGAAATGCTGCCTGAGACTGTCACACTGCTGCAAGCACAAGAACAAAACAACAGGACACTCACCACCACCATCACTGCCAAACAACAATGAAGAGAAAAACAAACAAAAACACAGCGCGGACAACAGGAGGTGCTCAGACACGCAGGCTTCTGCAGCATGGGCTTTGAATAAGACCATCACATTTTGTCTAACTTAAGGAGAAGGTTCTGGAAACAGAAGGGTAACATAGAGCTGCATGTTTCATTCATTCTCTTCTGAGAAATATTTCTTATGCGCCAGATGAGGTAATTGAGAAGCACAAATTTGCTGACTAATCAGTTGGGAAGTAAATTTTCCTGCTAGTCAAATGGATTAGTTAGGATGTGCGGGAACACATGTGCATGCAGGGTGCAGCCCAGACAGAAGCAGTGCTCCTGAGATGCTGCATGTGAACTATGGAGTTTGGAGGAAGGCCGGGGTCAGACTTTCCCTTTTGGGTTATTCTTAACCTTCTAAGCATGCTGCTTCACTTAAGAAAATGAATGTGGAATTTTTAGCTGATTTTTTTAATGGCTTAGAGGTGTAATGTGAAGACTTTATTTTGTACCTGCCTCTTAGTAGAGACTATGTGATATCCTCTGGATTAAAACTAACTTTAAAATTTCAACTATCAAACTCAAGTTCTGGCAACCGATCCTTTCCAGTGCTTTGATTTATACAGTCAGATTCACAGCCAGTTCACAGGCTGTGGGACTTAAACCAAAGCAAATTTCTCCACTAGCTCATTGCAATGCTTTTGATGCAAGTCTCATTACCATCAATTTGTCAGAGGCTAAGCTTCTACCCGAGACACATAAAATGTGGGATTCCCCAGTGTTAGCCCTGCACTGTGGCTCCCAGGCTATAGCGTGTGGTGTCTGGTTCTGAGGGCCGTGCTTCCTATATGCCTAGGACACCAGGTCCACTGAGTATTAGGAGAAAAGCTGCTCCATGCGTTTCTGTAGTTTCTTGATGTGCTTTGTTTAGCTTCTCTGGATTTCCCTTGCCTCTATATTCTGATCTTAGTTTGCTATGGCCCAAGTTAATAAAAGCCAAAGGATGGAGGCAGATTGTGTTTTGAGAACTATAGAACACTGGACCCCCTCCCCTCATACCACACCTGGAGAGACTTGTGTGATTTAGAGACCCTGTCCTTCCCCACCATCCTGAAAGTCTTAGCACGGAGACCAGCCCTCCCTTAGACACAGTGTGACACTGCCTTTCATTCTCTAATTGGGCTGAGAGCCTCTCTTTCCTCCCTGCAGATTTTAACCTTCATCTGGGCAGGGCCTGGGTCTGCTTCCTCCTTCACTGCCAGCTGACAGCGCTGAGCTGGTGCCCCTGCTAGTCGTCTGTCATTAGCTATTTAACCAGCAGAGTTAATAGGTAAGAAGGACACACAAGCCTTTAAAAGCCTAAATGTCTTATTTGTAGGAAATTCTCCGAGTGCGTATTATGTACCAGGCGTTGTGTTGAATTATCCATGTAGTCATTAAAACGGACTTGGGAAGTGAGTCCTTTGTTGATTTGGCTGGGAAGACTGGGGTTTCCTCATGCCATGCCGCTATTTAGTGACAGGAGGGACCTGAATTTGAGCCAGAGCTGAATTTATACAGAAATGTAAGATATTTAGCCACAACCTGAGTGGGAAGGTGGCTGCACTGTGGCTCCCAGACACCACCAACCAAACCCCTCTGGAAACAAACAAGGAGTTTTGATCGGTAAGCTTGTCTTTTCTCTCAGGAAGTTAGTCAGGGGATGAAAGTCTGAACCCAAAGCCAGCAGATGTATCCTGGTGTCCTCACTACTAGCCAGTTGCATCCCAAAGCTAGGGATAGAGTCGTGGTTACAAAGCAGACTTGGTGGCTGAGGATTGTCACAAGTTCGAGGCCAGACTTGGCTACATATTGAGTTCAGAGTTCAACCTGAGTTTTATAGCAAAACTCTATCTCAAAAAAAAAAAAAAAATCCACCTTAAAAACAAAACAAAACAACATGGACTCCAACACCAGACTGCTTTGACTTGAAGGCCAGCTCTGCCTCTCCCCACCTGCGAGGTCAGTAAAAGGTAGTTTTTTCACTTCTAGCTTCCACAAATGCCAAGTGATGATTAATAGCAGTAACTGTCCATAAGGTTAAGCAAACACACATGTCCCGGTGAGCCCCGGGATTGTATGGAATATCTATTCAGTGGATTTAGCTTTTCTTTCCTTGTTTTTTTAGTAGAGCATGTTCTTCATGAAATCAGGGATTTTTACCTTGCTGTGCTCCCTGGCGTATCTGAAGACTTTAGAACTGTTTTCCAGCACACCATGAACACACAAGGTTCCTGCCACATGTGTGGCAGGAGCGCTTTCAAGTCTCAGAGACTCTGCGATCTCCTCTATAATTTGGAAACAGCGGCTCGTGTCTTACACAGCTCCCCACACTGGTGCGGTGGCCAGACAGGATGCGGACTTCCTGAAGTCCTTCAGAAAAGTCTCAGAGGCGGGGAGGAAAAACTCTGCAACCTTTGCTTTGGTTATTTTCAGTAGGCAGAATGGCCCAGAAGAGAAAGCGTTAATGTAAATGTCCGTAAGGTACAGATGGTGCTTGTGAAGAAACAGCCTATTTTTCAATTTGTAGAAATGATTAGCTCGCATCCCACTGTGTCCACTGCATGGGCCACTGCTACTTGTAATTCGTGCCAATAGGATGGAGGGATGGACTTTAATGAGGGCCTGTGTTTTCTAATCATGGGCAACGTTGTGGGAACTGCCAGAGGGGGTGGGGAAGGTGAAAGATAATTGGGGGTTCAGAAAACGGGGCTGTTCCTTGGGGACAGAAGGGTGCTTTGCTGCCTTCCCAGTCAAAGCTGATATTCTAGTTCTCACTTGCAAGAGGAGGGCAGGAGGGTTCGCGATTATCAAAGCTCAGTGGTAGAGTGAAGCTCCCAGGTACCCACTATAAGGTCGGGTGGTCTAGATTTGCCACTTACCAGAGGGAACTTTAATTCTGCTTCCTCATTTTCAAGCTAAGGAAACCAAATATATTTCTGTTATTGTGTGGCTGTAGTATAAAGAATGTTAATGCAAGTAAAGAGATGAGGTTAATGCTGTGCATAGCTGAAGCTCTCAGATTTCTGAAGACATTTTAAAAATTGCCTTAGCCAGGCATGCCCACCCTTTTAGAGCAAGCACAGAGAACTTTAGCTGGAGAAAATCACTTTCTTCAGTATAGCAACCTTAATTCGTTGTGTGTCCTCTAGGACATGTGTGTGAAAGAAGCCTCCTGAGTGACGATGATATTGTCCTCTCCCTGTATCATTAGCAGAGAATCTGGATGACTGTGTGGGGTGCTGCAGGGGTACACAGATTCCAGCCACAGGACAGAGTTTCCTATATAATGATTTCACCATCAGCAATGGTCCTAATCTCCACTCCCCTAAATAGTTCACACGTACCTGTGGGTTCACACAGTGACCGTATGTGCTGGAACATGGCCTGTATGCTGTCCCTCTTGTGAATTGTGAAGAAAATATCTGTTTTCCTAAGGGATTCAAGTACATTTTGTTGTACTCTACCAGAATTCAGATGCAAAACTTGGGTGGCCTTCAAGTTGGTGCATGTGAAAATCTGAAGATCGGTTTTAGGAACATGTCAACAGCAGAAACTGTTCAAAGTGTCTCCTGGGAAAAGCACCTATGCTTTAGGAAGCAGGAGTCTATACATTTCCTAAGAATGCACTGTAACCATTGTGTGCAAGTGTTTCATCTGTGAAGGAGTCAATAGGCTCTTTTGGTTAATGAATAAGCAAAATATTTCACTCCTGCTTTCTTGCAGCTGAGCGTAAAGATAAGAAGATGACACAATCTTTTTCCATAATGAGATCCTAGTCGAGTTTGGGAGATAGACATGTCAAAGAAATAATGAGAACTTACGTCATGTAAATGTTGTGGGTACAGCTTCTCTAGAAGGTCGGGAAGATGCTGAGATATTTGAAGAGAGTGAGAAAGGTCTTCCGGGAATGCCGCAATCCCAAGTTTTGTAGAGATGAAACTGTGAACGTGAGGGTCCCCTGCCTCTGACGTGATCTGAGACAAGACAACAGCCTCCCCCAGCCTGTCCACCTCAATGCTCGGCCCAGGAACTGTGTGCTTTACTCTGGCTCACTCAGAAGTTCCTCCTCAGCCCCAGTCAGTGGCTTTCACCCTTCACAGATCTGAGTTTTCCTTGGAGGACACTTCAGTTCATTTTCTCCGAAGACAGGAGTAGAAAGAAAATGTAAAACAGTCCTCTGAAATGCATCCAGCAAGCATATTGTTGTGCAAACTAATTAGCTTTTGAAAAAGCAGTTCTCTAATCAAGATTTCTATACACCGTGCTTAGCCTAATTATAGCAACAATAATACCCTGGGTTTACAAAGAGCCTGTTAGTATGTATCTTTGCAATGATTTCAGTTATTTACCAAAGATCCTTAGTACCCAGCAAAAGGTAGATGAAGAAGATGAGGTTTGCAGGGGCCAAGATAGCATATATATTATTTTCTCTGCTGGAGCTCAGTGTTTATCCTTCATCCTCTGGGTCTAAAGCTTTGGAGCTTAACTCATTAATGTTCACAAATCAAAAAAGAAAAAAATGCTCATGATAATATAGAGATTACGGTAGCCTTGATTTTTTTTTTTTTTTTTTTTTTTTTTTTTGTGGTTGAGTAAAAGATTCCAGGTATACAGTTCTGCTTATGCTTATTTTCTGAAGGAAAGAACACATTAGTGAAAGATTAAACCTATCATTGGATCAAGTAGACCCAACCCTTGACAGGAAAATCCCAAACAAAGATGATATTCCTGAAGAAGATATATCCAAAGATATATCCAAAGATATATCCAAAGAAGTCTAGGCTAAACATTTCTAGTATAAATCTGTCTCAAAACTCTTAATGTGCAAACGGGCTGACGGGTAGTTTAGAAAAGACTGCTTGAAAAATCAGGCACTGGAGGAAGACAGTGCCATAAGAAATGAATGGACATTGATTTAAATGGTTAAAATCACGAAGAAAAGTTATGAGCCAGAGGTATGAGAGAATGAAGGCAAAAGGTCACGTACACAGTAAGCACTTAATAAATGACAAGGGAGCTTCGAAACACATCTTTTCTTGGCTGACATCAGTGTGTTTGTTTTGTGTTTAACTGTGAAGTCTTGATAGCTTCCTAGAGAACAAAGTGTTCATATTCAGCAAAGTGTTCTATCCAGCTGGCACTCAGTCAATCAAGTAGTGATGTTTCTTTAATTTTTTCCATTTCAACCAGATTTATGACTTGAGGTGATTTAACCTTCTTTATTAAATGTGGTGGTTTAGGAATACAGCCTTTTCATCTCCTGTTCTTAATCAAAGTCCAGGCTTACAGGAAGGCTTCTCTTTATTTGATATTATTAAGCTCATTCCCCACAAAGGCCTGTGGGAAGCAGAGGGACCAACATTTGGACTGAATACTAAGCTAGGTGGTAGGCTTGTGAGCCAAAGCAGAAGACTTACATCAACTGAAGAAGGCGAGGTCCGGGATCTTTCGTGATTTGTGCTGGCGGGCTTGGGGTTGGAGGTGCTGCTAACAGCCAGAGCACTGGACATTTTTCAGTGAAGTGAAACATCTCCTGATTAGGTAAACATATAGACATCCAGTCCCTCTGGAGGGTGTCGCAAACAACTTATAAGTTCAGGCAAAAGGTTAGAGGCTATAAAGTATCAAGTGGGCAATTATGGGACAATTCTGTGGAGGTGTTAGCACCTATTATCTTTGGTCATGTAACACAAATAATTATCCTCTGGTCAATAATCCCTCAAATGCCTCCTGTTTTCATAGAGAATTCATCGATCCTAGTCATGTTCCTAAATTCTCAATCTATGAAGTGCTCTATTTAAACAAACAAACAAAAAAAAATGTTTCCTTTCCTACTGTCTATCTAAAATCAAGTGAAAAAAGAGATGAAAGAAACTGATAAGAAATTACCAGGACATTTCAACATAGATCCTCTGTTATAGAAGGAAATTGCCCGCAGAGAAAACCCTTCATACAGAGCGTGACTCAGAATGATTGATGGGTCAGCTTCCAGGATATTTGGGATTCTGTAAAATGTTCAGAAAATAAATTGCAAATGAGTTCAATTTTATGGATTTGGAGCTGACAAAGTAAGCTTTGAGTTTGACTGTTCATAAATGCCAAGAAGTAAAATTTTAAATTGTAAACAATTCATAATACCGAAGGATTTTCCTTCAATTAAGCTCATGCTACTGTGTTTTGCTCTACCAGATAGATCCATCCCTTGTAAGTCGTTCTGTGACATTTGACTTAAGGCAAGTGATGCAAGGTAATCGTGGGCAGAAAGGCTGCCAAAGAGAGAGGCAGTGTGATCAATAGAATTCTTTTGTTGTTGGCAAACACTGTCAGGGAATGATCAGCGTCAGAGCTTGGAGCCAGAGAAAGCTAATAAGACGATGGCGTGTTCCCCACAATGTGCTCTAAGTATTTATGTGCTGTTCAGAGCGAGATCTGTAAACACGATGAGGACAAAGAGAATACAACATTATTGATGATATCCTCCTGATTTATGTTTACAGCATCTGTGGATAATAACTCCATTTGTCAGAGAGACCCTCATGAATACTAATTTGGCAATGTGCTCTAACCATGACCACACTGGCTTTGGATGATGCTCTTCCATTCTTATGTATTTCGTTAGAACTGTAGTATCTGTAAGCGCTCTTGATCTCTAAAACAATTAGCAACTGTATTGGGGAGAATTGGGGTACAGGAATTTTTCAGAAGTTTGCAGTGGCTCACAAGGTCCCATTTTTTAGAATGAGACATTTGAGGTCAAATCTGTGTTTTCCAGATGTGATTCTGGGTTTGCTTCTAAATATTTGTAAGTCCAAAAGAAAAAAAAATGATGTCACATTTTGTTTATGATGACTGATGGCAACAGAGCAATGTTTTAGTGAAGTATAAACTTACTTTCTTCAAATATAAATAAGTAATCTTGTTTTCTCTTAATGTCTGTTTAGCACTACTTCTTAGGTTGGTAGAGACAGTATTTCAAGCTTAGGGATGTTTATATTGTAAGGATAGGATATGAAATTAGAGGGTCATTGGAAGAAGCCAAATGAACCAGTAGATTCATTCTGAGAATTTTATCTGAAGTTCAAGTAATCTAATGTACTACCTTTAAATCTGCATTTTTTTTTTTTTTTTGTTTCACTCCTTTAAGTACATACTGGGAAGACCTGGCTCCAAAAACATGTGTAGTTTGTATTAACACTTGTCTACACAAACGGCAGAGTCACTTGTGAATCCTAGGGGCATCTCCAGATGGCCCTGTTCTGCACATGCCCTTGCCTTGTTCTTTGGCAAAAGGCTATCTGGGCAACATGCGGATCGTCTTGGAGGTGGAAGAGAACAGAAAGTAGGAATAAAGGCCATCAGGAAGCCATATCAGAGCTGCCAGCCAAAATGGAAACCAGCATTCCTTGGGGCACTGACCTACTGGGCCACCCTATGAGGCTGTATTCACCAAAGAAGCAGTTATACCACCCCATATACAGAGTGTTTCCATTGTGATACTATTATGAATGCATTTTATGGTTATTTTCAGGTTACTAGTTTTTTTTCAAACAAATCCTATAGGAAGGTACTCACAAGTCTTCCTGTACTATATCAGGCCTGTCCGTGCGCGACTCTCCCGCCCCATGCCGAGTCACTCTGAAGAAGACCCTGCACTACCATACATGCATTTTATCTTGTCAGTATTTTTATACTGGAAACTTTACTGATGCAGACAGAATATGAGGGAACAAGTATGACCATTATGTGTTTGGGATCCTGGTGTCTTAATTAAATTTTCAGGTCCTATGTCACACAAACCAAGAGGCATTCCTACGGCAGTTTTCAAGTAGCCTGGATGAGTGAGTTTTGTTGTTACTGGTTTGTCTTTAAATTTTAAGTCATGGTGGAGAGGGCCAGCCACAAAGTAACACCCAGCCCAGGTCACATCCTATCTAGGTGGGAGTTTTGACTGAGTTTGTTTTGAAAGTTGCTCTTCATTTTTTCTTCATGAGAAGTAATTATAATGCTCAGAAAATACAAAGAATTGTCTGCAAGGTGAGATTGAGAGAGCATGAATCAGACCATAAAAGATGCCGTGTCCATCTTATTTCTTAAAGAAATTGTCTTGGGTAATACCTGATATTATTGCTATGTGGTACCTTGGTTGAAAAAGGAGAGCAAATTACATGTTTTCTGAAGATGAAATCCTGGTGGCTCTGTAGCATAAAGACGTCACTCATTTTTAGTGACTGTCCTTGTCACAGCTCCCCTCCTTTCTAGTCTAGCTGTGCACATGCTGTGGCAAGAAACATGAGCACCAAGTCCCTTACCCCACCGCAGACCTCAGGGTGTCCATGTGGATGGTGGCCGCAGTGAATGGCTATCCAAATGGCGCAAGCTCAACCAAGAGCTAAAAGCTGGGTGGGCAGCTTTAGCTGTTAAACCCGAGGATGGTTAACTGTCCACAATTGCTGATACCTCAGGAAATAGCTCCATTCCCATTCCAGATCTAATGATGGCCTCTTCTCTTCTTCCCTGGACACTAAATTACGTTATAATTGACTCAGAATCCCAGAGACTTGGGCAGTACATTGAGGAGAGAAAAATGACAGTAACACGGGCTTTTTGTGAACTTTATAGACTTTATCTGACCCTGACTGAGAAAAAAGATGATATATTATTGTCTTCCTGGAGCTTGTGTTAAGTCAGGTGTGGAAATAGCAATAGAAACATGATCTGTCTTGCCTCCAACAGCTTCAGAGCCGGAAACGGCCCCTGGAACCGAACTCTATATTCCTCACCTCAAGCTTCTGCTTCAAAACACGTTACACTGACAAGCTGAGCCGACTTCAGCTTTCTCATAACTTCCAATTGTAGAGATTGAAAGGGCCTCAGGGGTCCAGTCAGGCCTCTCACCATGGGTAGGGATCCCTCTTACAATATTTACCATCAAAATGTCTGAGGACACTGAGTGACAGTCTATGGCCTAAAGTAACCAGCCATGTTCTAAGATTTCAGAATATTTTTTCCCTCCTAGCAGTGGCTTTAAAAGCATGCTGATGATGAATGGAAATGTGGGCAGTAGAGGAAGAAAATATTCAGTTCTTAGAGGTGGGCAGGACTAATTTAGTAGATCATTAAAAGAGATTTTTATGGAGTACTGAATGTTTGGAAGTTAGAGAAGATTCTAGGGTGTACAAAAGAGGGATGTAGGGCTTCAGATGTCAAGAAAAAAGATAAGAATTTCACATTCTGAAAATCTGCCTTGTAAAAAAGGAGATCCCTCACACTACTCAGATATTAGGGTGACTGACCTCCACTGGGCAGGGGTCTCTGAGGCCATTATGCCATTGAGGGTTGTTAGCAATGCTGAAATGCTTTCTCGCAGCTACCTTGAATTAGTAGGGACTGGATCTATTGGAGTAGAAAAGATTATTGCTCTTATTTAACAGATTAATTGAACTTACTTTGGTATATATTGGGATCTATGGATGTCCTCCACCTGGGAGCCAGAGATGAGTTTTAAACTTTATAGTTCCTCTTTTGAATTGATCACTATATTTATACAATTCTCCTTATTCCTCAGTCTCCCGTGGGAATGAATCATTCCAAGACATGAACTGCACAGCTGTAATGATCTCCCTTCGGGTTAGGCCCACAGGAGCATTAATCATATCTGAGGTCTGAGTTAGATATCTGCAGATCTGAATGGCTTTTACAGTTCTATATCGTGAAGTTCTCTTTCTCTGAATTAAACAGCCCCTTGTAGCAGGATTGACCCTAGAGAGTGTGCATGGAGCAGGGTGGCTGGAGCCCATTCCCCAGAGCCTGGTTTTCTCTCTCTGGTATTTTCTCCTCCCTTTAGATCCTGCTTACAGCTTTGCCTCAAATCTCGACAAATGTGCATTCGCATTCACATATGTATGTGAGAAGCATGACTATCACTCAGTTACACTGCATTGGTCACCAGCTACTCTCTTTGTTTTTCTTGCTGTATAAAGATGAATTTTGCGAGAAAGAAAGACTACACCCTCGCATATTTGCCATCCTTCGGCCCAGCCACTTTGCTTCATTGATGAGGGACAGTTTGTGTGTAAGCAGTGGGGCAATGGGACTAAACTATGGATAATGGTTGGAAATGGGACAAGTTACAGAACAGTGTAAACAACAGGAGCCTGAAAGCGATTACTGAAGTCTCTTCTGTCTGCCCAAGGTGGGATTAGTACTATCAACATTCATTTAGTGAGGAAAAACTTGCCTGCTGGAAAATGACAGGCAATTCAAAATACTCTTCTAGAGCTGGTTATCTAGAAGAATGAAACTAACCAACCCTCCAGTATTTGTTTGTGTATATATCACCCGGGTATCACCCGAGATCAGGTGTGCATGTTCTTGTCCCAAGACTACTGTGACTCCCAGACACCTTGGTTGTAGAGGGGAGGAGAACAGAACTAGATAAGTCTCAGCGTTTTTCCTGTATACCACCTTTCAGGAGTTCCATCAGATCCAGATTCATCTTGTTCTGACCTTGATGGAGCATTTTAGAGCTTTCCTGGAAGATTTCTCATGTTTCTTGGTTTTAGGCCAAACCATGAACTTAACAATAAACCTAGGTCCCTAAGCTCGAGCTGGTCAAATCATGGTCGTGTCTTCCTCTGAAATTCTACTTCACCAAGTCTCAATTTAGTTCTGTCAGCAAAAGCAGTGTGTAGGGTACCTATTATGGAAAAAAGATAAAAGGATACATTTCTGGTACTGGGAAGAACACAAAATGCACAAATAATGACTCAGTTATTAATAAAACACTTGATGGGCCACTGAGGAGAGAACCAGATGCCAGCTCTTTCCTGTGAGTCTGTGCCATTTGCAGACTTTAGGGGAGGAGAATAAGAAGCCCACAAGAAGCCAAGCCCTCCCTGTTAGTTGGCGCCATGTGTGGGCCACTGTGGGGAGAACCAGGCACCAGTCGCTTCTGGCATGCAGGCTGGGAGGCAAGTGCCAGGACCCCCTCCTTCCCGCAACCTCTCTAAGCAATCAGCTGAGTCAGAGAAACACAGGCTGTGATGATAGCTATTGAGGTAAAGCAGAACTTACAGCTTGTAATGTTTAGTGTTTCACTGACTTTGCAGGCCTGAATCCAGTGGTTTGATCATCTATTTAGAAGATAACCATACTCAATGTAGGATCTATGGGAGATCTTCTGAAGGTGATAACCATTGTTAGTTCCTATTATTTTGAAGTCCTATATAATTTCCATTGTTTTGCTTGGTTGGGTTTTATTCTGTTTTGTCTTCTTTGATTTTACTATATCCAATGGCATGGAAAGCTATTTCAAAGATAAGATATATTATGGTAGCCATTTTGGAGTCACTATTATTTTTTGGAGTCCTCTATTGCATTCATTGTTCTATTTTTGTTGGTCCTATTCTGTTCTGTTTTGTTTGATATTATTGTGTCTGAAAGTATGGGTAGCTACTTTGAAGACAATAGGCATTATGGTAACCATTGTTGATTTCCTATTGTCTTATTTTGAAGTCCTGTGTCACTTGTTTTGTTTTGATTGACTTTATTCTGTTTTATTTTGTATGGTTTTATTTTCTTTAAAATAAAAATTACAAAAAAGGGGGAAATTTGGCATAAGAACTTTAGAAAACAATGTATTTTTATAATTCTATGTAGACTTTTAATCATATCAAGGTAATGTGTGCTTCAAGTCATGTGTTTGTATGTTTTTATCATATATAAGTGAATTCAAGAGTTATTCAATTCTTTCTTACTATGCAGCAGAGAAATAAGTGATCTGCAAGCATGTGTTCGTTAAGTTCATTGTATATTTAATATGAACTGGATAATATTGTTCTATCAACCCCACCTTGGGAAGTGCTCAGCTGCAGCGATTAAAGTCAACCTTAGTTAATTTAAGAAGAAGTAGATCTACTGTAGATTGTAGGGCTTACGTAATTGTTAACAAGACTCGAAGAACATTTCAGGATTAATGTTGAGGTTGCACATTATGGACGAGTCATCAAGGGGTGGATTATTCTTCCCCGGTAGGATATTTGCCTGTTCAGCTGAGACTACACTGACAGAGCTGCTAGCACAGAACCCTGTCACGTTCTCAGGATCCAGACTGAAGCAGTGCTTGCTGCCGAGCTCCTACCTCCGCCTCACTGTCCCTGCTCTTGCCCATACTCATGCTTCTAAGTAATAAGCATTTTTCATCTCAGGAATCATGGCTACAGGAAGTTTTGGGAAATCTTTAGCTTTAGCCTTTGCGCACTATAGAAATAGATGTAGGAATAGATGTTTTACGAACCCTCCTACAGTGTCTACTATGGACACAAACCTTTGCTAGAATGGATGACACTCAGAAACATAATGAAACCTGTGCATGTAATTGTAAGTTGTCTTGTGGCCACATCATGAAAATAAACAGAGGCAGGTGATATTACAGATGATAAGCTTTTACTTAATTTCATGTATTATGGTCATTATCATTTTTACAAATAATTCATATAAAATTATAAATGACTTGCTTTATGTTATGTTTTCCTGTGCAGTCCTCAGAATTAGATGCATATTATACAGAAATGACAGTAGTCATTTCTACAGCCAGACTTCCAGCACCCCTGAAGCCCTAGGCCTAGTGGCTCCCACATTGAACAGCACAAATAAATGGCTGAAGTGTTTGTATTTTGTGCACAATGGAGATGCCAGTTGAGGCAATTATTTTTTATGCATTAACTTGTAAGTATGTGTATGTTGTCCTGTGCAGAATCTCAGAGGGTTCAACATTAAGGACTTTGCTGATAAGCAACGCGTGTTATATGCACCACCATGCCTGTAATAAGCACTCAGCACCTATTTTTACTGCATAATTGATTGAATGCGGTGGTGGGTAAGTAAATGAATGGAAATAAATTAACAGTGGTGATTGGCTATTAGAAGTGCTCTAAATTAAGCAGTTAAATTAATAACCTCACAGAAGGAGTGTCAATTACTCTAACTTTATGCAATTCTTTTTGCTTCTTGCTGTTGATTCCAGCCAGACATAATGTAAATTACTTGCACAATGTATGTTATTTTATTTCTTCAATACAGTGCCTACAATGAAACACAGACATATTAAAAATGATTTCTTGGTAAGATTCAGGCTTACGAACATCTGAGTTTATCATGATAGCCGAGAACAGCAAAGACCCTACTGATTTACTGTGTCTTATCAGATACTCTAATCCTTAATGATAGAGGGATTTAAAAGCAGCACATTAGATAATTCTCCCGGTCATTCCAGGGCATCCTACATCTGTTATTAAAGAGCAGTTCAGGAAGAACATAAGAAGCCTGAACTGCTGCAGGTGCCAGAGCTGAGACTGACTTCACTTCCCATACCCACACACTTGAATTTACTGTGCACCTCTGCTGTTTCTGGTAGTACAGAACAATTTCTAGAAAATATCCACAATTTTTAAGTGAACTTCCGGGTCATGAATTTCTGACTATTTGATATTTTGTATTATAGATCTTGTGGATTTCTATAGATGCAAAAGTGCACAGTTAAATTTGCATATTAAAATGTTTTTAAAGGCTATAAGGAAAAGTCAAAACAAAGCCCATAGTAAACGGAGAGACAAAGTAAAGAAGTACATGACTTAAATGATTCCTTGACATTTTGCAGTTGTGTGGCTCTAATCACTGCCCTTGACAGTGACCCAGACATTTAGACAGGCAGGCTTCTCATCAGCTCCACAGGGCGTGCTCGAAGTATCCTTGTTTGTTTCCTATTAAGGAAATAATCTTCCCTTAGATATTTTAAGGTGTGCATTCAGGACAGGATATAGGATATTTATTCTTTTTATAATTCAATGAAAAACATTATTGAATGAGCCAAGTTTGGCGGTACGTGCCTGTAATCTGAGCACGCGGGAGACTGAGGCAGGAGGGCAGGAGGATTGCCACGAGTTTGAGGCCAGCTGAGGCTGCATAATGAATTCAAAGCCAGCCTGGACTACAGAGAGAGAGAGACCTTGTCTCAAAAAATTAGAGAATGAGAAAATTAACTAATTTATAAAACTATTATGATGTACATTCTATGTATCAGGCACTGTTGGTTGAGGTGGGTAATAAAATAGTATTGAATGAGATATACTCCCTGTCATCAAAGTGAAAACAGTTTTTAAAAAGTAGACAAATATTTGGATATTATAGTATAGATTGAATATTAAAATTGATGAATATAATTTTATGGAACCAAGTAGAAAAAATATAAAACTTGGAATTGTGATAGTGTTGTTAAATAGCAGTCAGATGAGTTGCATATTAAACAATACGTGAGAATTTGCTGGTGAAGTTGAAAAGTATTTTAAAAATGTAGGTAAAATTGGGAATATTAGAGAGCACTTCATGTTCAAGGAGCTCTAAAATGTTTAAGATTAGCATTTGATATTAATGAAGCAACAGATAGACCAGGAGAAAGCATATGGAAGTTTAAAAAAAAGACAAAGAAGCAATACTGATTCTAATGCATTTTCTGATATGTAATTGCAAAATAACTCCTGTTCACAGGATCAAATGTTCAACATCATTGGTCATTTGAGAAATGCAAATTAAAACAGCGCTGAGGTTCCATCTCACTCCAGAAAGAATGACTATCATCAAGAAATCAACCAATCGTAAGTGGTGGTGGAGCGGTGGGGAATAAGGAGCCCTTCTCCATTGTTGGTGGGAGTGTAGACTGGTACAACCACTGTGGAAATCAGTGTGGAGAGTCCTCAAAATATTGGGATTTGAGTTCCCATTCAACACTTATTCCCCTTCTGAGTATCTTCCCAGAAGATCTGAAAACATCATACATCAGTGATATGTGTGCACCCATGTTTATAGCAGCACAATTGTGATAGCTAAATCTTGGAAACAAGCCAAAGGCTCTTCAACTGACGAATGCATGTAAAAGGTGGTAATTTTATACAGCAAAGTATATAGAGTATCTTTATACTCTGTATACTATAGAGTATATACTAGCAGAGTATCCCATAAAGAAGGATAAACTAGAGGCTTTTGTAGGTACATTGATGCAATTTGAGACCATAGTCACAAGTGAAATAAATCAAACTCACACATGTAAGCATCATTTTGTCTCCCTAATGTAAAAAACTGGAAAAATAAACAGGATCCAAAAATGTACAATAGATACTGTGAAAGTGAAAGGGGGAGAAACTGCTCAAAAGGAAAGAACATCTGGGATTGGGGAAAGAAAAGGAAGAATGGAAAGGAATATATATAAAATAACATAAAGTAATTATACTGCTAATCTCTTATTTCTTCAAAAATATTGGTTTGTGCTTACATTGTTTGATGAATTTTTCATGCTTACATCTTGTAATCTGAGGAACTACTTTGAAGATAACAATAAGCAATATATATGAACCATTGTTTATCTCCTGTTATCTTGTTTTGAAATTCTGTGTCATAATTTTTATTCTTTTGTTTTTTAAAATAGAAATTTAAAAAACAATGAAATAACTTCTGTTCTACCATAGTACATCTTGAAGAACATTGCAGAGAATATTAGTAGAAATGCAATAAATGAAATACATGATTTTACAGTGAGATAGATTTGAGAAACTCTGATTAAATGAATTTAGGCTGCATCAGAGCGGAATTTTTCAGAGAAAAATTGTGTGTATCAATGTGTCTATATACCTATAGATATATAATTGAATAAATAAGTATTTCCAATAGATGTAACCACAAAACAATCTCCAAGCATTTCAATTAACAATCAAACACTTCAAAAGGGCTAAAGCACCATTTTTAAAAATGTTGTATAGGACATAAAGACAAAAAATATCTATTTGAATCTTTGGCTCTTTTTAAATTGGGCTCTTTTGTCTTTCATTCCTATTTTTTCCGGGGAGTTGCTTTAGTTCTTTATATGTTTTGAATATTAATTTCTTATCAAATGGTTAGTTTGGAAATATTTTATCCCATTCCTTTGTTTTCTTTGTTGTATAAAGGATTTTAAATTTTATGTAGGACATTACTACCTAATACACAGATTAAGCAAAAATTATATTTATTCTGAAAATATGTACAAGTGTATCACTCAAAAATAAACAAAGACAAAAGACTCCTGTCAAGCCCATATTATATCTCTACCCATCTCTTGCTTTCTCTTTCTGTCTGTGTTACTACACCATCTTTTATCGTATACATTCTGTTGCCAACGTACTACTTGGGAATATAAGAGATTAATTGCAACCCTTTGCCATTTTTCAAAATCTGCATTTTCTTAAAAGCACTATTTCTGTGGATGAGTTAAGCAATTTAAGGACATGATAGGTTTTTTTTTTTTTTTTTTTTAAATTCAGGTAAGGTGTGCAAATATAGGATCAAAGGTTTTGTGACTGCATTTCTTCTCGTGGTGAGCTTGGTGACCTATGACAGAGGAGATGACTGATGGAAGAAGGCTCTTGATGAGAGGAAGTGATCCAACAAAGATGAAAGACACTTGGTTAAGTTTTGCTCAGAAAGGGGAGTCGTCTTTATATAACAGCAAAGAAAGGAAATTCACAATCAACAAATCTGTGATCTTTGGTCAGTTGCTTTCAGACCAGTGGGAACTTGCCAGCCTCAGCTAAAGGGTACATAGAGATAAGACCTTAGCAATTTATGTTGCCTCAAAGAATTCTGGGAAAGAAGTTAAGACATAAAAGCTTCCTGTAAAATAGATGGTTACTGACTGGGTAGTTCTTATAATAAAAGTTGACTGGGGATGAAGTATGGGCTAAAAGACAGTTTGCAATTTGGATGATTTGTAACTCGTTGAAGACCATACCCAAAATGTGATCATTCACTCTTTCACCTGTTCATCATTTGTAGGTTGGCAAGGAAAATGAGCAGGTGCTTCAAAAAGACACAGCCTAATGACCAAAAATCATACAGAAAAATCTAACCTTCCTGTTGTCCATTTCTCCCATATTCTAGGAAAATTTAGCTTTTTCTCTACTATACTAGCAAGACTTTGTTTTAGTCCCCATTCCTCAGGAATTCTACCTTTGGGGAGGAAGAGTATTTTGTTGAGACAGGAACATACAATGACGACAGTTTGGTCATGACATTAAAGGCAATTTTTATGACAAAAAGTTGAAGAATGCTTAGAGGCCATGCATTTTTGGAGTCCTGTGGATTGCACAGTGGCACAGCGCTGAAGGTGTGACCTTAATGGAAACTGACATCATTCTAGCCAGACCCACTGAGGGTAAGACCATTCTTCCGCAGGCTGTGACACTGGCTTATGGCAATGCATCCCATACCTTTCTAATGTAAATTTGTACTTTAGTGTAATAGTAGCTGGCTGTGCATCTCCATAGCCGTGCCTGGGAGACACAGGAAGCAATCTTTGGGTTTACCCACTTGGAATGATGAACAGCAAGGCGTGTGAATGTGTGCAAAGTGTCACACTGGGAGTTTTACCCATACGGTGCTCCATCTAACAGGCTTTGCATATGTATTCCTGAGCATCACAGGGGGAAACATTCACCCGCATCACTCTTCTGTAATCATCAATGGACAGTGAGTGTGCCTCACAGCAGCTATGCACAGGGAAAGCAAAAACCCATTGAGTGCTCACCTACTTGGTAGATGAATGGCAAGGTGTGTACAGGAGAGTTAAGCAGCAACACAGGCGTTTCACACATGAAATACTCACTGCTAAATTTCTGTGCATTTAGGGCTTGTTTCATAAAATGTTTTAATTTTTCTGTTAAAAGTAGCCCATTTCAGTAAAATGGCACATTGAAAATCAGATTTACAAATTTTCGAGGAGGTCAGAAGTGAGTCGTCATTTCATTCAGGCATGGATGATGAAGATGACACTCACTTTGACTTCAGCCGTAGGAGGAAACGTTCCACCACAGTGAAAAGGAGCACGCACTCACGCACACAGATGCAGGGAATGCAGACCGCCTTGACTCAGATGACCAAGAAAACAACACTTTGAGTACATAGTTAACTGATAGAAATGGCACAAAATGATCACACAACCAAGTGGAGCAATCCCATGTTAGAACCAGGTACAAAATTATAGCAAGATTTTGGTAGGGGGCGGAAACCTATTTGATGTAATTCCAGCACTGTTATTCAATGCTGGAAATCATTTGTAACAGCTGAAATGACACAAGATATTATGAAACATACAAATGCTGAAATACAAATAAAATGTTCTCTTTAGTATGTACCAATAGCCATACTCAAAGATGAATTTATTATGATGCCCATGAACTGAAAGGAAAGCATTCACTTCACAGGGTTTTTGTCTTGGTAACTGCAGGAATGTAAAAGACCTTTGAAAAAATGATAGATGTGGGCTTAATGTTTGTAGAATCCTGATGTAGAGGAGATGTGGTTTCTTTCAAAACTCATGTTTGGTGACAAAACCCCCCATCAACAGAGAAAAAGGATTGGTAATCTGGCTGTCATCTACTCATAGTCAGGGATTGGTGGGTAATTGTCAAGCAGTTTATATATCATCTGAGTACATGTCTGTTGATGAATATCTTGCAGTATCTCATGGTCACTGTAGCTTCAGGCAGTAAATTGCCTTAAATCCTTAAAAACATGGCATAAAAATTCACACCTTTATGCTTTTAATTTAGACATTTATGCTAGAACTCAGCCACAAGGTCCTTATTCATACAGTAATAATGCAAATGACATCATGAACCAACTGGCTGCTCCCAGCATCCAACCTAAGCAGAAGATGACATGTGACAGTTGGCTTACCAGTTTTCAGTTGATGTTACATTTATCAACAGAACACAAATTGACCAGCATAGGAACTTTATGCAGGAATAAAGCAGAAATTTAAATGAAATGTTGCGATTTCAAAACAAAGAATTGTATAGTATGAACTTTGAATTTCAGGAAGTTGTAATTTTGGCTTTGTATATGAAAAATAAAAATAAAAATAAACTAATACTGCTGATGTCAACATTGCACTAGGTTGGAAATACTGATAGGGAAACTTCAGCCACGCAGAAGAAGCCTGAGGTGATAACTTCCTACAACAAAACTTAAGGTAAAGTAGATGTTGTTCATGAGTTATGCAGCAACTATGATGTCACTTGAAACACAGGACACCAGTCAGTGATCAATTTACTGACAATCATAAATATGTGTGACGTAAATAGGTTGATAGTTCACAAGGAAAATAACAGGTGCAGAATATCATGGAGAAATTTTCTTAGAAGTTTGAAACTGAAGTCCATAAGAGATCATTTACAGTATAGAAAAATCAAAATATTTCTTCGCAGGAAACAATGCAAAATAATTGTAGAGCACCGTAGTGATCTACGAGGTGAACAGGCAGATGCAGTATCTCAAAGACTCACTACAACTGCAGAAAAACTAGGAATATATTAACCATGCCTACAGGAAAGGATAGGAAAGCAAAACACATATGCTATCAGTGTCACAAATAATCTCGCAGGAAACACCCACTTTTCAAGTGTGAAGCCTCCACTGGTCGTGACAGTTGAAACAAAGATTATTTCTGTGGCAGACTTTTGTTTGTGTTTCCATTATGCTTTGCAGAGATTCTTTTAATGATGCTTTCTATTAGTTTCTGTAAGCAAGTAAATAGCTGATGTGAAAATTGATATCTAGTCTAAGCACTCATATTTTTGATATTTTATTTCGTGGGCACCTTATTTTCCTGTTAAGTTCACATTGTACAATATAGTAGGAAGGTTCTGACAACACAGGAAGACAAGAGAGGTGACAAGAACAACCTGTCATACAGGAAAGGAAGCTAGTACAGGTACCATCAGTGTAAGTGAGACATGTGCTTGGAACATGCATTGTCACGTGTGAAGACTGCCTTAGGCGTGACAGGTGAAGCAAAGATTATTTTTGTCATAGAGTTTACTGGTATTATTGTTGAATTTATTTCTAATGGTACTTGTGGGTTTTTTAAGCGCTTACACAGATATGAAAATGCTTATTCTAAATTCACAATGCATATTAAGAATTTAATACTTTCAAAGCCAGATAATAGGAAATCAACAATGACTACCACAATACATACCATTATCTTCAAATATCTGCCCATTCCCTCGGACACAGTAAAATCAAACAGAGAGAGACAAAATAAAAGCAAACCTAACAAAACTATGAAAACAATATAGGAAATTGAAACAAGACAATAGGAAATTGCTTTGTTTGATTTTATGCTCTAACATAATAATTAATATTTTATTGACATTTTATTTTTCTGTTAACTACACATTATATAATATGACCCTCTGACAAAACATCAAGACCGGAAAGATGTCAAAGATACCCTACAGAAAGACAAAGCAAAACACATGTGCTGTCAGTGTAAGCAATGTATCTGGACAGAACACGCTGTTGTCCTATGTGAAGGTTGTGTTAAGTATGACCACTAGAAGTAACGAGTATAGTTTTTTACTTCTTCAGATTAATTCTTAAATATTTCATTTTTTAAAATTTTGTATGCTGTTGTGAAGGGGGTGGTTTCCCCAATTTCTCTCTCAGGGAGTTTGTTATCTGTGTACACGAATGCTGCTGATTTTTGAGTGCTGATTTTGTATCCGGATACAGTACCAAATTTGGTTATTGAGACTAGAAGTCTTTTGGTGGGGTTTTTGGGGTCTTCTATGTAGAGTCTCATGTCATCTGCAAATAATGATAAAATTAGCTTCTTCCTTTCCTATCTTTATTCTGTCTAATTCTCCCTCTTGTCTGACTAATGTTTTCAGAACTGTGTTGAATAGCAGTGGTCATAGTAGACATCCTTGCCTTGCTCCTGATCTTAGAGTGAAAGCTTTCAGTTTTTGTTTTTTTTTACTACGATGTTGAATGTTGGTTTGTCCTAGATGGCCTTTATGAGATTGAGGTTAAGATCATCTATCCCAGTTTTCTGTGGTGATTTTATCATGAATGAGGTTGGGACTTTGTCAAAAGCTTTTTCTGCTTCTGTTGAGATGATCATATGGTTTTTGTCTTTGGCTCTGTTAATATGGTGTGTTACATTTATTAGTTTGCATATGCTGAACCACTCCTGCATCCCTGGATGAATCCTACTTTGTCATGTAAACAAAGCTTTGTAAATAAGAAGCCAAGAAGGATTAATGGGCAGAGAAGATACTTGGTAAAAAAAGAGAGATCAAAGCACATTAGGTGCAGGTACAAATCCCCTATGATGAATATGATAGTTATGTATATCTACAACATATCAATGAACTTAATTAAATAAAAAACAAACAAAAATGTTATTTTGCAGTCTACTAGTATTTTTTCAATGAAATTGTTACAGGTATTTATTTCTGTTGTATTTTAGACTTTGTATACTGAAAAACAGTGTTGAAAATTGTGTTGATTTTTTTTAAAACACTCAACAATATTAAAAATTTGATACTTTATTTTTTGAGTTTTTTCTGTTAAGTACTCATTTTTAATATGCAAAAACTCATAAAATTAAAATTAATAATTCATCAATAGGAATATTCTAAAGAATAAACATGGTAATTATATGCCGACAATGCTGTGCTTTTATCATAAAGTTGGTGTATGCCTCATGGGCTAGAAGTACTCAAATTTACCTCAAGACAGACAAAAATAAATACATTCAGTTTCCCATCAGTACTAGAATTTCTGCTTAAGTGGTGTAACAAAAGCCTACAATTTTTCGGTCATACTATTAAGCATCTATCTCTTTTACAAACTTATCAAAATGGTTTTATAGCATCAGTGAGCACTGAACCAAAATTCAAGGATTCAGGGCACTCTTCCCTGCTATTAATCTGAAAAATGCAAATTAGAACAGCAAGATATCTTTTTGGTCTATCAAACTGGCAAATATTTAAAATAAAGACATTATGCAGTGTTGATGAGGGTGGAGGGGCATAGATACCCCGGCACTGCTGGTTAGGAGTGGAAATTAGCTCAATCATTTTGAAGAGTAACTTGACAAGCTGTGTCAGAAGCTTAAGAACAGAGCCACGAGGCACTCTCCTTCTAAGAATGTGTGGTAATGGGATAATGCTAGGTGTGCTCAAAGATTTATCTATATGCATATTCATTGGAACATTGTTTAATAGGGAAAAAATGGAAATGAATCTACATGCTCAATAATAGAAAAATGCTTGGATAAATTGTGTTATAGCCAGGGTGGAAAAGAGTGAACTTTTTGAAATGCTTCTATAAAATGACAAGTGGAGAAATAAAATGAGAGGGAGAGATCATAAGAGAGACAGGGAGACATAGTAAGCAATTAGCCAAACGCAATAAGCAGAATTTGAATGCTGATTTAACAAACTGCCTCCAAAACAACTATACAGAGCCTATCAGGGATATTTGTACTTTGAATACTGATTATATCAAAGAAATAGTCAAAGTCAGTTGCTGTGAGAGTGGCATTTTGTCTTTTAGTAGTACATACTTAAGTATTTGCTAGTAAAATTATATGGTGCTTAAAATCTGCTTTAGAAGAACCCAGTGTTTGTAGCAAGCAACTGGGTGGAGATATGGATGAGAAATAACTGACCAATGTTGGCACTTACTGAAGTTGAGAAGTAGGATTTCTTATGCTATCACGTCTATTTTATCTGTTTGAAGTCCACATAATGAGAGATAAAATATTTCTGCAGTTGAACATTTATTTCTATGAGATATATTGATGGTTTACCGCTGTTTAAAAATACATCAAACCATATATTAAATACCCCAATGTTTTGATGTAGGACGTGCCCATGGATATATGTTGGGTGATGTGGGAGGCAAACATTTTCTTCCACAAATGACTGTTTTCCACATGATTGCTGACAAGAGAAAGCTTTTGAGAAGATTTGTCAAAATAATTTTTGACATTAAATGAGTGAATTTGTCATTCACTGGAGAAATATAGGAGAGTTTTGTCTAAAGGTTTGGGGCCACTCAAATTTTCAATAAAAATCTTTATTTTAAATGAAAACATACAATATCTAAAATATCACTTTGATGGGCTAAATACATGGCACCAGCATGACATTTTTTAGAAAGATTGGGATACTATAGCGTCAAGAAATAGAATTTGTTTAGTCTACGGACTGTTCATAAATCTGGGTTGCAAGATGGGAGGTGGCGATGAACGTCCCCAGATCTGGTTTCCCGTGAGATGTAGCCCACCACACTGGCCGCCTCAGGGCGAGAGTGGGCAAAGGCTACCCCCGAGTGTGTTAGGGTAGAGTGAGTGGACGCTGAGCCCCATGATACTAAGTTAATCAAAGCTCATATTTAACCCTCATCTCTATAAAACTTAAACGTATTTTTAAATCAGGGGAATATATGTGTGTCCATAGAGTAGGTTACACTCAATTTCTTTCCACGTTAATTTTGTTCTTCATAATCATTTATTTGAGCCAGCCAAAAATGCTTTTGAATTTCTGAATTTTCGGAAGATTTTTTTGAATTCTATTTTTCTAGTCTGTAAAACATATTCACAGAAGTACATAAAATGCTGGATTACTTTAACAATACCTCACATATTTTTTATGGAAAACAACTTAACAAAATGGCCAGTGTTCTTTTTCCTCCATTTCTTTTTTGTCTTCTTTTTAACTTTCCTTCTTCTGGACTTCTTTTTCATATCAGAAAAAGGTAGCTCTATCTTAATCACATAACTTAGTATATAATTTTAAAAATAAGTATCTGAAAATACAGGAAAGTCATGTCCTCAGCCGACAGAGAAGCGAAAATTTACTATGTTAAAGAAAATCATTATATTTTCCCTTCATTATATAACAAAACAATTTCAAAACTATCGTAAAGGAATTAAACTCAGGAGAGTTAAATAATTTAGCAGTGTTAAAATACTGCAATCTCTGACAATAAGAAAGAGAATTAAGAAACTTTTGGGGGCAGTGAAGGGTGTGTGTTTATGTAAAATTTCTTGATTGCAGAAAATCTCTATGTTCAGCTGGTTTAAAACATTAGTCTCCAGAAATTCTTCCTCCAAAATCTGAAAGTTTGCAGAAGTGGTTTGCATCCAAGAAGAATCTCTTCTGAAAAGGCAGTTTA